GTTGTATATATATATATATATATATATCTTTATATATAGATTATAAATTTAACAGTGAACGAAATGTCAAATTAAAATTCTGTTAAGATGCAATAAAAATAAAAAGTATATTATGGCAAAACGAATAAACTTTTGTTATTTAAGTACAATCCAAAAGAGTGATTCATAAAAAGTACTTCCTTCAATCAAATTTCGATAATTCTATGCTTAGCGAGAATAAACTTTTTTAAAACTTTTTTTTACAAACTTTGTATCAAACCCTTATTGAGACTCAAAATTCGAGGAGATCTTTTCTTGCGCCATTCTCTAAATTTGATAGTCATGCTGTTCGATTATCGTGTTATTAAGTGGAGGTGTAGACATACGTGGTTAGGTACAAATTTTCGTGATTCATAAAAAGAACCCCTCGAGATCTCGAGGGTCGATTGCGGGTCAAGTCTAGTGTCGTTACTTAGAATGACTTGGCCGATATTGCAATCCCCTAATCGACGAAGGCCGACTCATACCGCGCGCCGATTGGATTTGGCTTCGAATAATTGGTCGATTACTTTAGTTATTTAAGCAAGTCTTAAAAGGTCCGATGCAATTTCGCGCGGCGCGCCGATGAGAGCTCACTGTGTTTCAATAAATTATTTTCTCTTAATTTTCATTGCTCTTTATGTATTGCGGTAGGTTTGCGATTTTCAATTGACCTTCAATGCGATATAATCAACGTGCCGAATGATTTATTACCGAATTTTATCCAATTTCCATTGATTTTCAATTATATAGAACTTATGTCGAAAAGAATTAGATATAAAAATATTAAAAATTTGTCATTTTTATTGTGAATTATATTTTTGAAAGATTAAAATTTTGAAAGACCTAATTTTGAAAGAGTAAAAATATATTTATGTATTTTTAGCGTTGGATAAACGCACTTATTTCAGATTTTATTTATCTTTTGTTTATTTATCTATCACTGAAAAAAAAAGTTGTTGACTTAACTAAATGTGTTTAGTTCGTAGTGATTATTTAGTTCAAGTATTTATAAATTTAGATTAAATAGCGTGCGTTAGTTATGTTAACAAAATCTTGTAATTTAAGACATTTGTTTGGATTTAACAAATATTTGCTTGATCGCTGTACTTAGTTGAATCAACTAATATTTTTTTGAATCAGCAACTTTTTTTCTCAATTTTAGCATATAACTCATTTGATGTGTTAATAGTATATCTAATAATTAAATTTTTTTAAATATCATGAAATTTTATTCTGCATCTGAATCAGAAATTATATCATTGCGTTTTGTCATTGTCAAAATGATCAAACTATTATTTATCTTAATCGTAAAATTTATTTTTTAATAAATATTTTTAAAATAGAGAACTTATATAAAAATTTCTTTTTGTTCTCCGAAAATTGATAGGAAGTAATGTTTGTTTCATGTAGGTAGAACGCAATCGTTAAATTTCCTTCCATGCACATTTTAGGGCAAATTCGTCTCGCCTAATTAGACGTAACGAGCGAGTCTTTTAATATGATTCTACGCTTTTGACACATTCGCAAATGTTCTATATTGCGATACAGCTTACGAGCAGAATAACACTCGAGCTGGCTCAATGAATTCCCGGGAAAAGCTCGAAGATCAGCTTAACGACGAGTCTTTTAAGTACGACGTACGTGCGGAATTAATGCAATTATGTCGATGTAATGCGACGCCGGTGCCACTGACGTCATCGCGTTACACTCGTCTCTTATTTTTGTACACGACGTTCATTCGTTGCCGGATATTCGTGTTCTTTCTGGGAATGCTGACGAGCTCTCTGGCCCCCCCCCCCCCCCCCCCCCC